CAAGGACAAAACTATTGAGGCGAGTTTGAAACGACTACAAAGATGTCGAAGATGTAATAAGACAACAACGTTATGCTAAAGATCAGTAGTAAAACAGAATATGAATAACTAACTTGAAACAAATATGGTTCAAGTTGTGCATGTGTTGTTAATTAACCCTTTTGTAATTCTTTTCATGTAATTATGTTTCTTGAGTTTCAAAAAGAAAAAGAATTCCAAAAAATAATCTCTCAGATTCAGATAGGATTTAATTATTTCAATAAAAAAAATTACTTCATTTTTTGATTCAAATTGTATATTTACAAAATTGTATGACCAAAAAAATGTCAGCAGCCACAGAGTGGATTATACTGACTTGTTTGGTGGTGATCTAAATAGTAGTAAGACGAAGAACATCGAAAAGCAGCCATTGACAAAAGCAGAGCTTTCTCGACTTCTTTAGCTGCATTCCTTTCCATCAGGGAGCTGATATACACCATCAGCTGTGAATCACAGGCCAATATGATTGGTCCATCGCTCATCAGTCCAAATTCTTCTTCCGATATTCTCAACAGCTCCCGGAAAATCAAACTGTCGAGATAAGCTATCGGGAATGAGAATCGCACTTTATCGGCCGTGTACACGATGAAATGCCCTTTCTCCGCCACTACTTCGGAGGTGCTGATTTCACCCATTACACGCTTTCTTCCTAAGGCTGCAACACTCTGCCATTTTCTTGCCATGTTCATCATTTTTCTTGCACTAATCATCATCACCATATCGTGGATATTTCTTGAAAGAATTTTTGTTTTGGAGGGTTGTTGATTGTTGTTGTTTGTGTTTTGATGTAATGAAGAAAATGGTGAATGGGGTATCGGTTTATATCTATATATACATATATATATTGGAAGGTGATATAGAATAGACAATGCATTAAAGATTGCTTTTTTATTGTAGGGTTTTTGGGATTGCAAGTCATGTGAGTGTTTGGGGGAAAACAGGGGAATTTGAAATTGCCGAGGTGTCGATTTTTGAGGTGGTTCATTTTAGTTTCTTTTTTTCTTTTTTGCTTGTGCTGAGTTGGTGGATGACAAATCGGGTCCAATTTTCTTAAAATGATCGTTAAGCTAGAAGGGTTAAACTCCTCCAGAGCCACAAGAACAAAAAGGTGACATTATATGATGATTATAGTAATTGTCGGCCTAATTTCCGTAAAAGTTCGTTTCCGAATAGAATGAGAAATGGAAATTTGGCCGGTGCAAGATGAGGCATTTTGGACCCAATCACCAAACAAGGCATAACTTGTGGATGAAAAGCAGCCAGAGTTCCATTGGTAGAGTTATTATTCCCAAGTGCTCAAACATGATCATTACACCTTTTATTCCGTCGTTCGTACATATCTGTCGATTCTTAAATTAATCTTGATAATTACTTAGGAACACAACGGTTACTTAAGTTAAAACGTTGTATGCATAACCTGTCAATACATTAGAAACTGAAATGGAGACATTTGTTAAGTATCCACGTTTCGTTTATCTTTCTGCCCCTGTTTTGTGAGTAGATGTACAAATTTTTGTGTATATTATGCAAGAAATAATTAGTCTGACATGCAGAATAATATTATTTAGTACACCGATAAATATTGAAACATTTCTGCAACTCAATTACTATTTGTATGTATGAATTTCATCAAATTACAAATATAGATTCAAAGCCAGGGGTTAACAGTACTATATTCACCACTCATAGACTTTCGAAATGTTTTTTTTTTTTTTTTGACTAATTATATATTTTATTGTGTTATTCTATTATAGCAGTGCTCAATGTATAAGCAACTGGTGATTCATCTGCCCTTCGTATAAGCGTGACAAGGAGCATGGGCTTCTAGAAGCTTCTTGGAAATGATCCAGACCTCGGCCTTGTCTGATCAAGCAAATGGCGTAGTCCATGAAGAGTGAATCGCACGGTAATACTATAGGCCCGTCACTTGGAAGCCCGTATTCCTCTTCGGACATCTTCAGAAGCTGTCTGAATATTGAATTTTCAAGATAAGCTAACGGAACCACAAATCTCCTCTGATCAACGGTGTAGATTGCAAAACTACCGTTTCTTGGAAACGGGATTCTCTTGCTTTGGAGGGCCGCAATTTTCCGCCATTTCTTGGCCATATGAACGATTTTTTTCGCGGTGATCATTTTATAAGGTTAAGCGGGGACGGAAAACTGAAATCTTTAAAGATTCGATATTCGGGGTGCGATTTATAGTGAAGGGAGGTGGAGACAAGAAGTTCTGAGTTGTTGATGGAAATATAAGGGATTGAATTACAGCATGTGGGAGTGGGATACATTGGTACCTTAAATTAATTTGATGGGAAAATGTATTTAGGTGTGGCATATGTTATTAAAGATAAACCTTACAGTTTGCTAACTGGATTGAGAACAAGATGGTCCCAGTTACTTAGGCTGTCTTATATTACAACCACAGGATAATACATTTATACATTTATACAATGCAACTATGCAAGTCCAAATTAGACAGCCAGCTTCATTAATTAATTATATTTGCGTACTGCAGTTTGTTCATCAAACACATATTTTGCATCTACTTGCTGTCCAAAATTAGACCATACATGCATGCATGCACAATAGTACAGATGCATGTACAAGCAAGCACTCCCATTTTTTTTATTTTTTTTTATATAAATAAAACTGAAATGAATTTAATTTAATTAATTAAGAAATAAGAATAACTGACGCAAATTGTCTAAGATGGTCTTAATTGGTTACACTTAAAAAAAAAATAGGCTGGCTGGGTCAATTGTTTATTGATTGGGTCTGGGAACATTTCATTAGGGCCCAACCCAAACTACTTTGGTTAAAGCTCGGTCCATATTTCCCAGCAATTGTTAACTACTTTGGTTAATTAATTTACTTTAATACTTTTTTCATACATATAATATAAATATAATTGAATTGCTAATAATTTTGAATTGTAATTATGTGAAGAAAAATTAGTCGCGCCTACATTTGTCCTTGGACTCATTCAAGCCGACAAATTTTATATAGTATTTTGAAATTGAAATAAGATTTACTCACTCCGTTTCTTTATAGTTGTTGTTTTTAGCTTGTGCACAAGGATCAAGGATCTCAATAAATGTTGTTTAATTTTAGAAAAATATATGTTCTTATACTAAAATGCCCTTGCCAATAATTAATGTGAGAGAGTGTTGGAGATAGTTAATAAGGATAAAATTGATAATTACACAATTAATGCAGTATTGAAAATATAAAGTGACAGATAATATGGAACAAAAATAATTTAAAAAAGAGACGATTATTGTGGAACAGAGGGAGAACTATTTTTTAATTGTGAAAATATTAATTCATTTATTTTTTAAATGCTACTTTGGATTAAGAAGGTGTTTGGATAAGCTTATAAGATGTTAAAGTAAGCTTATAAGATGTTTTAGAGCTTATAAGCTCTTCCAAAGTGTTTGGTAATTTTTTTTAAAAATCTTAATTTTTTTAAAAAAAATCTTAATTTTTTTTTAAATAAGTTGTTTGAGAGCAAATAAGATCTTTAAAAAAAAATACATTTATCCCACATTTTTATTTAAGATTTTATAATGAGTAAAAATAGGAAATAAACTTGATGATGCTAATTACTTAGATCACCTGGGGTAGTATCAAAAAGGAACTGGGAGAGCAAAGCAGATCAGTAGCTTGACAACTTGATGATCCTGAGGTACCTGCGATCATAGAACACATGAACTAAGCACGGGGGTTGATCACGGGGGAACCCCTCCTTGTCATGAAGAGTCTGATCATAGAAATAGTCCAGAGAATACGTATTGTAGTATTGCTCAGTTAATAGGACGTACCTTAAGGAATGAGTCAAACCTTTATTTATAGCTTAGTTGAGATTGTCGGGCCCAAACCTTACTTGAAGGTGATTGGGCCTTGGTGATAATGGTCTTCGATATTGGGCTCGTGGCCCAGTAGGTAAATAATTTGTAGGCCCATTGGGTTGGGCCAATTAGGCATATCATTAAGCCCCCCACTCTCGAGTCGATGTGGGGGTCATGTTGAAATGGGCGACATATCGTGTCGATAGTAAAAATTGTAGTAGTCGATGGTGTGTGATAACGCGTTGGAGCGTGTGTCGGAGGGGCGTGAATGCGCGTTGGCGCGTAGCGCGACCAAGTTGTCGCGATGTAAGTTAATTGAGTCGTCGGTTTTGTCCCGCGACGATGTAGTAGCGAATTATCTCCTCGTGGGAGTTGTCTCGTCGCGGGATAATAGTTTTGATCGAGTTATCTTCTCGTGGGAGTTGTCTCGCGATAATGTAGTAGGCCCCCTGAGAGTCGATGACCCATGGCGAACAAAATATTTTGGGGGCACTATAAACCCCCAGGGAGTCGATAACCCTTGGCGAACGAAATATTTTGGGGGCAGATGTAAGCTCCCAGGGAGTCGATAACCCTTGGCGAGCGAAATATTTTGGGGGCACTGTATACCCCCAGGGAGTCGATAACCCTTGGCGAGCGAGATATTTTGGGGGCAGATGTAAGCCCCCAGGGAGTCGATAACCCTTGGCGAACGAAATATTTTGGGGGCAGATGTAAGCCCCCAGGGAGTCGATAACCCTTGGCGAGTGAAATATTTTGGGGGCAGATGTAAGCCCCCAGGGAGTCGATGGCGGTGGTGCCATAGGTGGCTCCACATGTGGAGCAGGTGTTGGTATCGCGTTGGGAGCATTTGCTCCCATCGTGGCGATATATTGGGTCACGGCCTCTGTGGCAGCGCGAGTTGAAGCTTCTGCTATCATGCGTTGGAACGCATCCTCGGTTATTTGAACCATTCGAGGAGCAGGGAGTGGTGGATCGGCGAGTGGTGGGTCCCGAGGAGGGATCACCTGAACCTCGCGAGGTGGATCTGCAGCATGTGGAGGAGCTGGCTCCGCGGCACGTGGAGGAAGTGGCTCCGCGGCACGTGGAGGAGGTGGCATGCCAGATCCTCCACGGACTGGGAGGTTATTAGCTGTGTCATTTTCTCTCCGAGCTGACGCCTCAGGAGGATCTTGATTAGCTGTGTCATTTTCTCTCCGAGCTGACGCCTCAGGAGGATCTTGATTAGCTGTGTCATTTTCTCTTCGAGCTGACGCCTCAGGAGGATCTTGATTAGCTGTGTCATTTTCTCTCCGAGCTGACGCCTCAGGAGGATCTTGATTAGATGTGTCATTTTTTCTCCGAGCTGACGCCTCAGAAGGATCTTGATTAGCTGTGTCATTTTCTCTCCGAGCTGACCGAGCTGACGCCTCAGGAGGATCTTGATTAGCTGTGTCATTTTTTCTCCGAGCTGACGCCTCAGAAGGATCTTGATTAGCTGCATGATCTGGTTTGCATCGTTCCCACAGACGGCGCCAAACTGATGATGCTAATTACTTAGATCACATGGGGTAATGTAGAAAAGAAACTGGGAGAGCAAAGCAGATCAGTAGCTTGACAACTTGATGATCCTGAGGTACCTGCGATCATAGAACATATGAACTAAGCCGGGGGTTGATCCGGCGGAAACCCCTCCGACGGTCAAGTCAGACGTGCTGATCATAGAAATAGTCCAGAGAATACGTATTGTAGTATTGCTCAGTTAATAGGACGTACCTTAAGAAATGAGTTCAAACATTTATTTATACGTTAGTTGAGATTGTCGTGCCAAACCTTACTTGAAGGTGATTGGGCCTCGATGGTAGTTGTCTTCAATATTGGGTTCGTAGCACAATAGATAAAGGAACTATAAGCCCATTGAGTTGGCCCAATTATTCATATCAATATGTATATATATATGTTTTCTTCTCCTTGTTATTGTGTTTCTGATAGTAAGTATTAGTATTAATGAAGTTGCAATGAAGTATGTAGAAGTAACCCCATTATTAGTATTTAATCCAACGGTTCTAAAATTATAACGACCAAAACATAACATTTTAATGTTTATGTAAAAAGATTATTTATGTATATACTCACGGCACACAAAAGTTGGTTACTTGATCACGTTTTTCCTATATCTGTTTACTTAATAAAACAGAAATTGCACTATTCGAGAATTGTTACATGGATCTCTCTAAGAAGAAGGTAGAAAACCTCAAAAGAAGACAACATCTCCATCACCTCTTTATTTCTTAGTAAATTAGTAAATATTTATATTCTTCAATAAAGAAAAATATAATTTTTTGTATTATTATTTTATATTGTAATAACAAATAAGATTTTTTTTTCATAAATTTATCAAAGAATATGAAAAATAAAATTTGGGGGTTACATATTTATATAAAATTATACTATATTAAAAAAATTCAATTCCACCCATTCCTCATATAGATACGCCCCGGGTCCTTATGGGCAATCGAGCCCATAGCAACTACTCTTCTTACTCCAGGTCGAACAAGAGTTCAGTAGATCTAGTTAAAGGACAATGTACGTGAATAATACTTTTGTACGAACGAGCTCAAACAACTAGTTCGGTTGCTCCATGCAAAATCAATTATAAGAATGTGGCGACTTGATGAGAACTCTAGAAGACTTCGGTTTTATATATATTTTTTTCATATATACAAAGAGGAAAAATTAAGTATGGCCTAAGGAAGACATAATCGGGTAGGGCTGGATATTGGAACAAAATATTCGATTTTGTGGATTTCAGTAAGGAAATTTCTTATCTTGAAACAATATTTTTCATTCCAAATTCCAGAATTTCCACTTTTCATTACTTTGAATTCATTGTTCCAATTTCTATTTTTTGACGTTTTTAAAAAGAATTGGAATTAGTTTTTTCCTTAAAAAAGATTGAAATATTTTCAAAACTGTTAATTATGATCTGATTCGTCCGATTTCCGTCCCTATGATTTTGTTGTAAATTTCGAAGCAAAAATCTTCTATTCAAGATTAAATTTTATCTCCAATCTCAAGATTACCAATGTATACTAATGAAGGGAAAAAAAACATTATTAATATAGTTTAGCGCGTATTAAGAATACTTGTATACAATATAAATGATTAAATACAAATTGGACACATATACTACCAGTAATGTCGCATTTACCCCATGTACGTACTATCACCAATAGCGTACAACATGCCCTCTAAATAAATTTGAAACAAAAGGATCAATCTAGTAAAAATGTGATTAATTTGGTTAAT